TTACTATTATTTTAAATGATATCATTAATAATATCATTAAATTAAACTTAAATAAAAATTGAAAAAAAAAAGTTGCATTGGCTAAATTTATATCTTAAAAAAAAAAAAAATTTTGATGTAAGAAAAAAGAACAACAAAATTGCAATAATATGTATACGAAAAGGATATGATGCATGTTGCATGTTACATGCAATTAATTCGTATTATATAGTACAAAAAAAAAAACAACATACACACATTCCATAACAATAAACATGCAATGCATGCATAATGCATGCAAATAATAAATAAATGTATGCAAGCTTGATACTAAATGGAACAAACAAAAGGAACAAAAAAAAAAAAAAAAAAAAAAAAAATAGAACGAATATTTAGCGCTGCTAAAAATCATTTGTGAAATAATCGATAGGATGAATTTTTGTTGAATGAAAATGGATAATTTAAAGATAGCTTGAAGAAAAATAGGCTTAAAAATTTTTTAAATCATAAATTTGCTCCATTTCAAACAATTTCGATCATATCAATTTATCATTAATCTCATAAATTGTTATCAGTTTTTCTTTTTGTAACAATTTTAATCATTTTATACTTCTTAAATGTTAATTTCCAAGGATGATATGATTAATAATTCAGGCTAAACTTTTCTTTTTTTTGAAAAAACTTTCTTGAATCTTTCTTTTTTTGAAGGATTTTAAACAATCTTCTAAATTATAATTTTATTTAAATATTTTTTGGAAAAAAAAATTTTTTTTCCAAAAAAATATTTAAAACTTTTTTTTTCAAAAAATATTTAAAAATTTTTTTGTTTTCTAAATTTTCAAATTTAAAATGAAACATTCAATTCTGAAATAATTAAAATATTTTATGAATAAATAATTATTTATGCGAAAGACAAACATTCAAATTTATGAAATATCTTTTTTTTTTTTTTTAAACTTAATAAATATGCAATAGAAGAGAAACTGATGGTGGAAATATTACCAAGCTTGAAAATCAATATATAGCAACCAATATGGGGCCAGGGTTGAAGAAGAGAGACTTATGCGGCCATTTCCAAAGAAAAGCCATTTAATGTGGCCAAGCCTGAAGTGCTGAAGGAGGCTAAGCGTATAAAGTCTAAGCCTTAACGAAAAATCTATATTAAGATTGAAGAGAGAAAACATTACATATAATGATAACTGCATTTTATTTAATACTTCCCTTTCTTCTTCATCATAAAATAGATCGTTTATTGGCCCGTTATCAGATAAACTTACCCCAAATGAGGAAATTATTAGTGAGCAAATCGTTAGGTTTATTTGATGATTTGTCACCGTTACGATTGATATTGTCACCGTTGCGATTGATATTATCGTTGTTACAATTATTGTCGTTGTCGTTGTCGTTGTCGTTATAATTTGCCGTTGCTACTTCACTTTTATATCAAAAGCTTTTTTCCTTCTCATATTTTTATTTATAATTTATGAAAATTAATCAATAAAAATGAATATATTCCAAAAAAAAAAAAAGAAATATGTATACACAAACTATTCGTGCCGCATAGTAATAG